CACCGGCTGTACTCGTATTTCCCGAAACAAAACGCGATTTTGGTTGCATAATTGACCGTTTGGCGCGTTTTACTCCGTTTTCATCGTTTATCAGGTATTATATTTTCTCGCGTATGGACACTTTCATTCCCCGCCCAACTGAAATACACTGTCCAATCTTTCACTTTTCCTCGCTATCCAGAATTAATTATTTCTTTTTGGTAGACTGGAAATGTTTAGAAATCGTCAACCCTGTACCCAATGACGAAACAGGACTATATAATCTTTCTTTTCCAATTGGTTTTGGATTTAACTAGATATGAAAATTTCTCGATTCATGGCCTCGTTTGTCCACCATACGCGCGAGCGTAACCGAGAAAATGCTGCGCACGCTGGCAACAGTCACGTACGCGCGAACACGCAACCGCATTATTAATAATACGGCAATGAAAGGGAACGGGACAGAGAGAGAGGAGGAGGAGGAGGAGGAAACGGTGTAGTTTATCGCAGTTCATTGCATTAACCAGCACACGCCAAACCCATCGGGAATTTTCTCGCGGGACGAGCACGCGTGCAATTTCAACGCAAGCATCGAAGCTTAAACCTCGGCGTGTAAAGTCGATAACGATGCGGATCACGAGATAATACGGGGCCTCTGGAATTCCGAACTTCCTCTGATTTGCATCAAGACTTCGCGGAGTGGGAAGCTTTGGACCGAGTTAGGTTTACAGATTTTCCAGGGGAAATAATTTCACCCGTAAACGTATTGTTTAGGTGAAGTACGGGATAATTAATAACGTTAACGAAATTTCGTACTGAATTATCTGACTTACTATAAAACATTCATCTGACACATGTTGACTGTAATCCACTTTATAAAGTATCACGTTAATCGCCATTATGTAAAATATATTGTCTCATTTTTGGTTACTAAAAGTGTATCTTTTTATCAATGTTACTTAAATTACTAAAATAAATAGAATGTATTTATTTGGATACAAATGGGGCTTAACTTTTCAAGTAGACGAATTAAAAGAGAAACAGAGACGTTGAACGTGAAGTACCCATAAAAGTATGGGACCAGATCTGATAATTAAAGAAAGAGAAAAATCTTTAATAGTAATGAGTAAATGATTTGAATTTGTACCGATTCCGTAACTTTTTCTATATCGTAACTAAATACTAAATTGTCGTGTCATCGAACATAAACTCTGGTCCCATACTTTTGGTCGGTAGTGTACATTTAACGATTTTCTAAATTCTATTTCATCGAAAACGAAGAAGTCTTGAATGAAACAACATTAGTGCACGCCTTCGACTAACTTCTGCAGAAGCGATTACGTCTTTATACCATCAATACTATCTTCCTCTGTATATATCTTCCGACACGATTCGGACAATTCCGTCGGACAGCAACGTAAAATTTCAATTAAAGGGAAATCGATACGATACCCGTCAGGTTATTTTTGTCCGTCGGCCAGAAGGTGGATCGCGCAGACCGAGAAACGGTAATGTGAAATGGTAATGGTGGAGAGTGTGGAGTCGCGCGAGCGGCTAATTGCATTCCTAATAATCCGCCGACGGGGGAGGACTTATAACAGTTTATCGTTCTTTATCACCCGGCCGACTGCAACCGCTGGGAATTTTCCGGTTGGTCCTGCGTACGTTGTCCCCACGTAACGATTCGAACTTTATCATCGACTCGGTGAAAAAGGGTAACGTCATGCGAATCTTCGAGAATTCTTTATATTTAATTCAAGCACGCGTTTCTTCCGTCCAGGAATCGAAATATGACCTTTCCCGCTTGAAAATCCTATTAGTCGCCAGTAATTTCCCTCCTCGCGTTTTAAACCCATTAACATATTCTATGGTTCATTCGGAAGGGAGCAGGATCCTCTGAATAATGAAGTATTAATTTCGGTGGTTTACGATTCGAAAGGATTATTCTCGTCTAGAAGGATATTTTTCAGACAGAATCGTCACTTATGGGTTGCATGAACTTTTATTACATCGTAAAAGAATGTACGACAGTTCATCAATCATGAACTGTGGTCCCATAATTATGGCCAGTAGTTACATCATTCTCCTCCTTCGTTCCATAAAGATCACAACTTTCATTTTCCAGTAATAAAATCTAAGAAAAACTTGCTATCGTTCGCGTCAATCTGAATGGAATGCCTTTTCTTTTTACGGTTTCTAGGAGTGTTTAGAATCGCCTACGAGCGTTCCACCAGTGTAAATAATTGCCGGACACCGAGGCAAAAGTGGCGCATGAAATATGCAGAAAACGCAACCGCATTCCTCATATTGCGGCGTGGCGAAGGGATGGGAGTGGAAACATCGGCGATTCGTTGAATTCGTATCGAGCTAATGTATGGATTGCGGTAAACGAAGAATCGTCCGGCGGCACTGCGTGCGCCGACTGCACGGCTGCTCTTTAAAAATGGACGCCCGGCATGCGAGATCGCGAGAATACCGTGCTACAAACGACAGATATTACCGGGAATTACGCCGTCTGATATCGCGAAAGGATGTCGGCGAAATAAAATATGTACAATATCCCCCATGGCCGTTCCGACCCACGCTTTCCCGACGATAAATTTTTCGTGGATCTTAACCGCTGAACAATGCTTCTTAAACGCGGTATTATTCGCATTTTCGTGCACAGGGTGTTAATTTTAATTCGAGCACCTAAATTATTCCCGCAATTATTTCCCATAATTATACAGCCCCCCTAGATCACCCTTGATCCGGCGCTGGATAGTATAAACGTGGGTTACAACGAACTATTGCAGTTACCATGGTAAAGAACAGAGACATACTATTCAGTCATTAAAACTAGATGAATCAATATTTCTTATTATTTTTTTCATATTTAACTCACCCAGATTAACGAACGCGATTCATTAGACCGAGAACAGAACGAACCAGTACCGTTTTCACGAAGAATCCTGTGGACCGTTCGAGCGTCGCGTATAACGAGCAGACCGAAGCTCATGCTCGCAAAGCAGAATTAGTTATAGAACCAGATTAAGAGGGTCCTTTCAATCGAGATTACACCAACAATTCCGCGACACGGTTGCGGATTAGATCCGTTTTTGCTCTCCCCACCACGAGCACGACCGTCACAAAGGACGCGACACCGTGGAACGTTCTCTCGCTCCCGTTGTTCGAACAATGTAACGAGAAGCCGCCGTTTTATTCGACAGTCACGTAAACGGGACAGACGAGGTAGACGGCGGACATGCAAACGAGTAATTACTGCATTACTAATAATACGCCGAGGACGAATGGATTTACGTGTCCCGCGGCATTAGGGAAATTACCGGAAACGCTGTCGCCGGGTTTATTGTTTCACGTGTAAAATCGATCACGGTCGGTGGACGGGACAAAAGGAACGGGAACGAGGGCTTCAACGTCGGTGTCCACGGAGTTATTTTCCTACCCTCGTGGTTTCTCTTTGCCTCGAATTGATTACAGACGCACACAGACGGACGGAGAGACACAGAACGGACCGAACGGTTGATTCCCGACGATTCAACGCTCGACGCTCGACTTCGGGCTTAATCACCGGAAATCGAACGTCGTCTGTCCGTCGCTTTTAACGTTTATCACCGTCATGGGACGCTCCTGAACACGGGATTATTTAGATTCGTCGCGATTGCATGGACACGAAGCGTCCCTGTTTTCAATTATACGAATGCTCCGAGTCGGGAATTCTTGCACTCCAGCCGGGGACAACGCTCTCTTGCGAATGGTGGAAAAGGGTGTAGTAGTCTAAGGAATTTATAGAACGAAGTTTTCCTTGCGTATTCTGGAACGTTCTATTGTGGATTGAATTTCTATTTGTGATATTGATGCATTAAGTGCACCGATGAGTAATGAATTGATCAGGTGTAAAATTCAAACAATTTTCACATCTTCCTTCGTTTTAATACTTTCATTTAGAAGAGGCAAAATTATTTAAGTACCATTACAAAATTTTTGGTAAAATTTACGTCGTAGCATAATACGAAATAAGACCAACAGCCTCTGTTAACTAAACGCATATATTTTCGACGATTTATGACTCAAAAGATGGAAAAAAGTGTGTCTGACTACGTATGTCTTTTTCCACTGTGGCGGTCGACGTGTTCAAAATGGCGGGTTATTTCCCACTTTTCGAAAATAAACTAATACCGAACTTAAGAAAACGTAGTATTTTTATTCACAGTCGACTCTAGTGACTCTGAATGGAAAATTTGATGATCATCTGCACGAAATTTATATATTAAATTTTTTTTTAAATGAAAACCAGACTGTGTCGCAATTTTGGGGAATTTCTTAGGTGTTCCTGGAAGAATATCCTTCTTGTCGAGACACCTCGCGCACACACACGTTTATAAAGGTTCAACAACGAGGAAGGGGACCGAGTTCATGGAACGGGCGTTACATCCGCGCCATCGAGTCGCAACAAAATTCGTCGGTTTATCTGACGATTCTATCGGGCATGGTGAACGTCGGAGGGGATCTATTACTGGAACGAGACATCGATGCGGGGCTCCTGGGACCGGCGAGCGATTTCGACGGAAAATGTAGGTATATACGAACGAGACAGTCCCTTCTACGAAAATTACCATCCACGTTACGTTTCCAACTGTATCACGAACACCTTGCCCCCTTCCAAAGACGCTCGAAACTTTTGATCGACGCTGACAAAAAAAGGATCGAAGAGCTTGACTCTCCTGAAGTCTCGGTTCATTTTCACAAATGAGAATAATTCATAAACCACTGGTGAGATTAGACAAGAGAACGAAGAAGGAACTATGGTATGATTTTTATACGACATTCTGAAGTTTTTGGAACGAATCAGAAGCTCAGAGAATCTTGGATTTTGATTGTTTTTCGTGTGCACATATAGGGAACACGGATGGAGGGTTACGTTGCACGTTTCAATGGAAAAATTTGTCCTACGAAGACTTGATTCTTCGCGTTACTACGTTCCTGAAACAATACAGTTTGAAAAAGATCAATGGACTCACCTTTCTGGTGTCGATTGATGCTTATACCCTGTCCGTCTTCCCTCTTCCACATCAATTTCGGCGACGGATATCCGTCCGCTTTGCACGTCAGAGTGATGTTCTGATTCTCTCGAACGGCAACCGTGCTATCGGTAGACAGCGCGTCCAATATGTTCGGCGGCACTTTAAGCAAGAACACGAAAGAAACAGGAATATTACAACAGGGGAAACATTACCGAGTATTCCGTGATCCCTGGTGTTAATACTTTAAGTAACTTTCGTGTTTCAGTTGACTGTGGCAAGTGTTTTCGTAAGGATTGATCCTTTTAAGGCGACGAGGAGGGGGGAGGGGCTAGGATTTCCGTTAAGGCACTTAGCGTTTACGGTGCATAAAGTTTAATAATTGTACGCGTTGGGTACGGTTCGATGTAAGCCGACGAAAGAAGATTAAATATGCTCACCGACAACCTGAAGGAAGCCGACCTGACTCATCATAGGCACCGTGTTCACTTGGCACATATAATAACCTCGGTCGTCTTGGTGCACGCCGTTTATATGCAGCAACCAAGTTTTCTGGTTGTCGTGGGACACCGAGAACCTTGGTATTTTCACGACCACGTGCTTGTGAATAGTGAGCAACATTTGACGGCCCACGTGGATCCACGCCACCTGTGGACAAAAGAATTTCATTTGGAAAATTGTGTATGATATAAATGAATAAAATCTGCAAGTCTTCGAAAGTCCTACAATGGACCCTAATGATGGACCCTAAGTGATTTCACCCCTCAAAGTACCGTCGCAGCTGATAAAAAACAATACGTATATTTTTGACTGCTTAACAGACATACGAAGTTTCATGAAAATCGGAGGAGGACACTTCCGTTTCTTTCTTTGTAAGATGCGTATTGTCAATAGACCCGTCGCGAAACTGTTCATACGCGATCGACGTGACGCTCGTCTACGCCGTAGAATCCTTCGAATTTCCCCGTCGTCAATGGACCGAGTAGTCGACGGACGGGCTCCACAAGTGGCGGAGCACAATATACCGACGAGCAGCGGCCGAGCACCGTCGGCGAAACAGAGAGAAAGAGACCCCAGGCGTCGTAGTGGCTGCGACGAGACGGCGCGAACCGGGCCGCATCAGAAATGCTATGAACAAACATTATTACGACCGTATTTTACGCTCCGTCGGGTTAACGTAGCCTCTAACTAAGCTCATTCCACGACAAAGCTTATGCACTTTCGAGGATTTCTGGGTTAAACTGCCTGCTGCCCCCTCCCCCCTCGCTCTTCCCTGTTCCATTCCTCTGCCCTCCCAGTCGTCGGTCTCGCTTCTTCTTTTTCATTTCCTTGGCAACGGTCGAGAACGCTCGGTTGCGCGAAAGCGCCACTTTTTCCTCATTTTTACCTTCCGTTCCTCCCCTCCCTACTCCTCCGTTTCGGCGTATCTCGCGGAACTAACGCGGATAACAACTCCTCTTGAGCTTGTCGGCCGATGAATTATAGCGCGGCGGCGGGGCTGCCCACTTGAACCCTCGCGGCTGATCCTATTTTCGGGGCTCATCGGGCTCGAGAGGATACTTTACGTTCTCGCTACGGGCTACAGGGAGGCTGAAGTATGAGAATACGGTGTAAACGATATATACCGCTTCGTTCTCTTGACGAATAGTAGAGTAGGAGTATATCTATACTTAATCTGTTTCTCTACAAACGTTAATTGTATATAAATGATGAAAATTTTTTTTAAGTACCCTGTTGGTATACAGGCTGAATCACCAACAACTGCCATCTGGGATAATTCGTTGTATTGACGTTAAAACAATTATCTTTGTACAACATATCTGTTACCTCAAGCTACTATTTCAATATTTTACAGTTTTCAAAATAGTAAGGTAACACTGAAATTTTTCTGTGACACTACGTGTTGTTTTAAGTACCTACTGTGTTAAATTTTATACAATGATGATTGGTTTTAATACGATACTATGTTGTAGGCGATACAAAGGTGAATTCAATGACCTGCAAGAAAGTGACTGTCGTTTACGACTCATCCTTGGTCAGATTCCGTCTCTAAGTACAATCTACAGCGATTGTTTCGACGTGCTGTATCGACTGACTCCAAGAGGAGGGTCGGATTTATCGTGAGATGACCTGATTCGTTGATTTAATTTGTCGAAAGGATCAAAGGGGCACGGACAAACCAGCTGCCGGGTATTCCAAGGAACGTCATATCGGGGAAGATTAAACCGTAGTCGAATTCTCGGTTAATCCTTCGTCTCGAATACGGCCGGACCACCGTTCTCTATGCCGGCGGCGGCTTCACGAAGCTTCACCGTGCGATAGTTTTCACTGGAGATCTCCGTCGATCGTTCTCGATGAAACATTCGATGTGATTTCTACGCTCGTGAATTGATTACTCCTTCGATAGAAGCGTTTAATTCTCATGAATCTTTTTATACAACTTATATTGTTATTTAACTTTTCATTGTACTTTATTTATCTATAATAATAACGCTAAGAATAAACATTTATTTTAACGAACGTAAATATAAGAACATATTACAATGAAATTAAACTTAATTATAAGAAAGAAAATATTCTTTTCTTCAATATTTCAAACACTTGAAAATGAATTTCGTGGCAATATGTATTTATTTGAAACAGGAAATCGGAATTTAAATAACGACTCGATGAACACTCGAAACTCAAAGGAAGTATTCGATTTTTCAGAATCACCCGATGAAATTTTAACCCAAACGATCCGCGAAATACCAAAACGGTTGGATGTCTGCCACGCGAAATAATTAATAGAAATCGCGGCCCGCTCGCCGTGGTCAATCGCTCTCGATTCGTATCGTTCGCGTTGATCTGGAATCGGAAGCTCGATAGGATCACATATCCGGTTCCCGGTGGCGACCAGCCGTCGACTGTCACGGATATCCAATCGATTCGCGATAGAATCTTTCCGGGATAATTTATCCGAACGCGATTAATCGGCTTCTGATCGTCGAGTGTCGTCGATACACCAGATCGATCACGTTAGAAGGGACAAATTTTCGGCCGAAAATTATTAATTTGTCCGATGATACGAACCGATACACCGGATACCTAATCGATCTGTGTACAATTCAGGAGGGTTCGAGAGGGATCGCGACGCCGCGAATCGAATATAGGATTGAGAGGAAACGAGTGACGCAAGGCCGGTAGCTAACGGCCCTATATTGGCCTTTAAACGGTCTCGAGGAAAAGCTCGCGCCGCTCGCGGCCTCGATTGAAATCCCTGGCACCGGTACAAAGTCGGGCTTAACTGCTACCGCGACGCAAGCTTTTATACCGGGCGATGGGGGAGGAAAAAAAGCTCCATTCCGCTGCAACGGGTTTTTTCTCGCGATGAACAACGAACCACGTGGATCTTCGTTACGATTTCATTTCTCGACGAATTCATTTCGCCAATCGCGAGAATCCGTAAATTTTATATTAACCCTCGTACGTCCCTTGTGTCAATTTGACACATTTTTCTCCTAAGAAATTATATTATCCTGTCATGTGTAGGAAAATTTAGCTGAGGCTTCGTGACTTTTATTTTAAAGAATTTGCAAATTTAACTATTTATCTTTTTATTGCATTCGCCGTTTACCACTGAATCCATTTGACAGCGAAAGACGAATTAAGATGGGAACTTAATAATTACTCTACTTTCTTTTTTTACATCTCCATCCGACGTTAAGTCCACGATAAAATCATTAACAAGGTTTTGTAGGATTTTCGTGTATAATACTGTAAGGTGTGAATAGTGTGTATGTGTGTCCTTTCCCAATATTTAAATAAAATAAAACACACATTCTCTCTGTATCTCTGTGGCACTTATGTGTATGAAAATTCGTGGATCACAACGAAACAGAAGCCTCGTCGCTCCCGAAATTGTTTCGTAATCCGTCTGAAGATATTTCGATAAAAAACAAAAAATACCGAGGCACACGACAGCTTTCGATTTAATTAAAATCGAGCAGCAAGAGCTGCGTACACTCTGTTCGCGCGCGTTTACTATCTATTGACAGTCCCCGCGGATGATTCAATGCAATCTAGATCGGGTACGCTCGGCTCGATTACTTTTGCGCTTCGGCCCGTGTGCTGCTCGGCGGCTGTCGACTGGATCGAGTTCTCTTTTTTTCACTTCCAAATGACTGGCGCGCATGGAACCGATAAGGGGAGACGAGATTCCAACAACAAAAAGGAAAGAAATATAAATAAAATCAAACCGTTCCGGTTAAAAGCCTGAACGACTGGAAGAAAAAATAGGAGAACGCGAGAAACGTTTATCGAACATGAACACCCGAGAAATTAAGTCGATGGTCGTTCGACGGTGTCGATCTCGGATTTTCCGACACTTTGTAGCGGTCACGTGTGTTTCCCTTGAAATCGAATCGAATTAACGCAATTAAACCGACGCGTGATTTCTCATTTTAATCGTGATTAGCTCAGATTCGTCACGCATTAATCCCTTGCCTTATAAAATCGAGTCGAACTCGTTTTGACGATTTCAAAATCGATTCAGTAAACACGAACATTATTCGTTTACATTTAGTCAAAATGAAATACCACATTTCTGGTAATAATATGTAACTTTCAGAGTAAATGTACAGCTGCCATAAGTACAGAATTCCTTTCGTCTCTGGGAAACTATCGACAACAAAGTAAGACTGCAGACGCCAAGAAATTTGTAAGACAAAGGGTTAATGAGACCTAAGATCCGGAGCAAGACGTTCTCCAGATGATTTCTAATTTTCCTCCGTGAACAATGATCTGGTGTCGCCGGTGAGTGACAGTAATTATCCGCTGACAGTGCTACGTGCGAGGTGCACCGAGTCACGCGTCATCTTAACACCGCAAACTCGCCGCGGAGTATACATTTCTCATTTAAATACGTGCTTGAAGAACCGACCCACGCTGAGTCGCCGTCAAAATCTGCAACGACCTCCACTCCTCTTAATAGAAACGATTCTGGGACCTGGGAAACGAAATTTCTGTCTCGTGAATGACGTACTGATACTAGATTCTAAAAATTTTACTAAACAATACTCTACAAACTGGAACTTCTTAAACACACTGTCGGATCAGCCTCGAAGGTCCAAGACTATCTAGCCTCTATTTACTATCTTCTGTCCATTATCACATAAACAGTTTCCACTCTCTACTAAGGGCAGGTTTACCAGCAGCAATCTTGCCCCAGCTCGTCGTTCCACCACCGCATAACGGTAGAATAACGGCCGATGATACTATTATTACGATTATTATCATCGAATCCCATAAACCCACGTAACGGCGGACTATATATCGAAGCTTTGATCCACGAGTCGACGAAACTCGGGTCTCTCTGAACGGACAGGAGAATAACCAGGCCTCGAGTTTACACGAGCTCCCCGAGCGATCGACCAGACGGTCTACAATTTAATTAACCCCCGCGTGGAACCGTTCCTGGATGGAGAAGCGTGGGTGAGTTGAAAAAAAAAAGGTAACTGAGTGGTCCGAGAGCATAACAGGAGAGAATGTCGGATAGGGGGTGGAGGGTAGCGACGGAAAACAGCGAAAGGGCGAGCAAGAAGAAGGTCGTACCGGTGCAATTCCGTGGACGTTGCGACGTTTAGCGTCGTCGGGCGAGGGTGCGCCCG